AGCCCGGGGCTCTGATGCGTAGATTTTAGTGTTCCTGGCTAGTACCGCCGCGCGGTCTCCCATCTGTTCCTCCGGCTAGTGGGTCCGCCGCTGCTCGACTAACATGGACACCAGAGAGACCGACTCCTATCCGAGAGGGTCGACACACTGCACGGCGCCCGAACTCCAGCTAGCTCGAACTCCAGTTGGCGCAGTGTCGCGTCTGACCGTGCCCTGACGTCCGCAGCCAGCCGCCGGCGCCGGGCGAGTACGCTGTGCTCGGCCTGACCGCCGCTGAGGTGGAGCTGGACGTGCTCACCGGAGAGTACCGCTTCAACCGGGTCGACCTGTACGAGGACGCCGGGCAGGCGCTGTCGCCCTGGGTCGACATCGGCCAGGTGGAGGGCGCGTTCGCCTTCGGTATGGGCCTTTTCTTAACGGAGCAGCATCGGCTGGACCCCCAAACTGGACAGCGGCTGACCAACCGCGCCTGGGTGAGATCTCAGTCTATCGATGCATCGCTCTTGCTATACACACGCACACACACACACACACACACACACACATATATATATATATATATATATATATATATATATATATATATATATATATATATATATATATCTCCGTACGTGTGTGTACGTGTGGTACGTGTGGTACGTGTGTTTTTCTCTTTGTCTTTTTTGCGCTTTCCCTGTATTGTAACCCTTTCATTACCTAGGCAGTTGATAGTTTCATAATTATAGGCATGTGCCGAAATGTTGCCATATATGTCTGGTCGCTTACAAAAGGAAAATGCCGCAGACAAATGGATGTTATGCTCACACGGCTCGTCATATGAGGCATCGTGGTCCAATCTATGATTTTGCTGTTCCAAGATATTCATAACCGATTGATATATTTCAGAACTATTATCCACCCACTCACAAGGACATGCCGAGGGACTTCCGAGTGAAGCTGCTGAAGAACAACAAAAACGACATCGGCATCTTCAACTCGAAGGGTAACATTACCATGTGTTCACGGCGTGCGACCGTGCTGCACTTCACTTATCGCTGTTCCCAATCGCTGATTACGTAGGTCACGCAATATTCGAGTACCGTATGTCCGCCAGCACCTCTCTTATCCATCTCTAGCTTACCGCAGCTGATTCAGCGCCTTATAACCGTGGATTTTACCAGCGCCGAGTCACGCCGGATTAAAAAAAACACAGTACATGTATTGCGCATGTTGCCGTTCTGCCATTGTGAAGGCTGAATAGCAAACGTTGCAAACTTTATCAATTGAATAAGAAACCTATGTTTTTGGCAAAAACTTGCTGTCTTTTAATGCTGTCGTTACTGGCTGACCGGCCTGCCAGTTGATTTCTAACATGGCAGACACGTAGGTGGCACACGTCATGTTCCACACCTCTGAGCTAAGTAATCCGTCCAACGTCCTGATTTCTGCTGTTGCGGCGTCTCTGACCGGGCTGTCCTAGCGCAGTGGTCCATGGCCCTGACCTCGACGACACGGCTGGCTGGCTGGCAAGCTGCCGTCTCCCCTGACCTTGACCCTGCTGTACCCCCAGCCACCGGAGAGCCGGCCACCTGCATGAGCAGCGTCTGCCTCATGGCACTGCAACAGGCGGTGGCGGCGGCGCGCAGAGACGGTGGGCACAAGGACTGGATCACGTTCAGTAAGTCTGTCACCCCCAATGTGCTTGTTCGTGCTTCTACTTTTGTAGGCTGGTGGAGATGTACGCGGCACATATGAGTAGAATTGCCCGTCAACTTTGTTTTGTTATGTTGTTGCTTATTTATTCACCTTCACTGTCTCGCTCTTTATTTATTGTTACGTTGTTTTTAAGAACGTTATCATTAGTTAGCAGGTTTGTCTTGAAGTATTCGGGTGCCGGCTCTTAATTAAAAAAGTTTGCTTCCACCGGACTGTTATGGAGATCGCCCGGGACTAGCCTTTGGAGAATGACGCCTAGGTGACGGCTGCCGGCCCTGCCTGCTCCAGACTGCCCGGGCACCGTGGAGGCCGCTCAGACAGCGTGCCAGACGTCTGCCGAGCTGCTCGTGCTCTCGTAGAGCCGCGCCGGCTGAGACTGCTGCCGCCGGGATCACCTGACTGGACCGGAGGCTGGGCCTGCACCGGCGACGGCAGCGAAAAACGCACCAGCGCCAGCCGAAGCTCATGCCGTATCGGGTACATTATATATGTCACGTAACATTGGTTGAGGTCGTGATTTCCGGAGAAATCGACCTTGTTTTTCAGGGTTTGCGGGCGCTAGTCTGGTTGTGTTTTTGTTTTGTTTGGTGGCGTGCTTCGATCATCTTTCCTTGCTTCTTGTTACAACGGCGACTTTTTCAATGGACAACCTGAGATATTGTCATATACGCTCGTCATAGACACGTCCGTGGGCATATGCGTGAATGCGCAGGTGCGACCAACGAGAAGAATGTGCGACTCAAGAAAAGCATGGGTAGAAATTAAGGTCGCAGTAGCTACAGATGTATGGCCCTGGCCTAAAAGCTCTGCTGTACCTCATTGAGGGGTAAACATGTCCCCTAAGAAATCGTTTCTGCGAAGTGTATTAACGGGATTCCCTGGCGAAGATGTTAAGTCCTAACAATGCACAACTCCATGCTTACTTGTGTTAACTTGACGTTTCAGCTTTTCACCCAAAAAAATACGCCGCGGCTAACTTTTTATAGCTTGCGTTAACACAGCTTTGTTTTTAGCAATATTAGCGGGTGCAGTACTCCTGCGTGCTTTTTTTAGGTAACAAAGATAACTTAACAAAACAGTAAAAAAAACATGTGCAATTTAAGCAAGAATAACCGAATTTCGTGCACGTGCTCTGCACTTTACGGGGTTTTAGTAAAAAAAGTTGGATTATGACCCCAATTGCGAAACTCTTCATACATCCGCGACAACCAGCGGAAATGAATGTGACAGCCATGCGATTTGAATGTGCTCTGATGATTTGTCTCACCTACCGATGAACTACTAATGTGTAGCGAAATGCAATATTCTCTGACGTCCATTTGTCAAAATGTGCTCTGGGCTCGGAAAGCATAGATAATAAATAAATGGTGGAGGGAATTTGTCTTGACTGAATAGATAGTCGTCAAATGCATCCGTCTACCTGTTCCACTTTGCGTCTGGACATGCTCAGGTCGCCCGGCGGCTCGCCGAATGCTCAGATTTGGACACCATGTCTGTGTTCACAAGACAATGCGCCGTGACAAGCTCTGTGCGGTCACAGTCGGCGGGCAGTGCGAGGCACCTGCTGAATATTGCGTTTTGTTTGTTTGTTTGTTTTTGTTTTGTTTTGTTTTTTGTCCGTTGGTTTGTGCGGGTGGTCTGCAAATCTGACCAGTGCGAGTTCAGTGAGGAGCCGTCGGAAACCGTGGTCACATCTCGGTGACGGCGGGTTGCAGCGATAAGAAATTGGCATGTTTTGTGCGGGAATTAAACGGGGAAGTGAGTGGTACCGCATGTGCCACGTGTCGCGACCTCAGAGCGGGTTTTTTATTTGTTTTCACGTGCCATGCCATATTTCGGCGCCAGAGCAGGTGGAAACATGAATCCAACTTCAAAATGACGATTAACTTGCCGCACACAGTTGCGCTCTAGCAAAAATTTGTGGGACACACGGTTGCGCTAGATATCTTCTAAAAAACTGAAATGCCGACATTTTGAGAACCGGTGCCAAATATAAACATAAAGACGCGAAAGCTGTTGCTAGGGTCTCAAACAAATTGACTTCACCATGTGCTTTGGTTTTTCACTATTTCCAATTTTACATTTAACAATGTTTTCGCCATTCCGGTTACGAATAACTTTTACCAAAGGCCCACAATGTCACATTTTTGTAGCGTCTTCTGCCACCTCTCAGTCACCGCCGGCAAGCATTTTAAGTAAAATGGCGTCGCGCGCACGTGCTATGTTTTCATCGGCAGCAGTTCATTCAGCTTGCATTCATTCATCGCGCGACGAGAAAGGTAAGTCGCGTTAACGATCGAATGCAGTTCTTGAACCCTGAACCTGAATAAATGTAAGAGATGCTGCTAATGCCGTGAGAAGCGAGGCAAAACTGCAAAGGGTGCGACAAGATGACTTATGCAATGGCATAGCTGTGTCAAAGCGACGGCTGCTGTATCCCAACCATGCGCAATATTTTCGCAAGTTTTGTTTTGCGATCAAGGGAATGTGAGATGATTAGAAACATTGCAACCTCATTGATACCGAAATTGGCAACGATAGGAAAATCTGGCAATGCTTTTGACGAACAATTTTTTTGTGAAATGTCATGAATATGTAACAAAACGAAAATAGCAACGGCACCTCACGAGCATGTGCGAGCTGGTCATGGCTTGATATTGACTTTTCCACTTTTTTTCGCATTCGATAACTCGCTTTGGTCAGCTTGTATCGCTGCCATCTTGTGCTCTGCTGGCTTCGCTACAACACTATGAGGTGCAGGATCTGCATGCGCAGATAATGGATTTGCATTAAGGCTTAGCCAGCGAAATTCGGCCTGTTTATCGAGTACCTCTATCACCTACGGCAATGCGTTTTCAAGTTTGCATGATAATTTATCTACCGCATTCAGGTATGAACAGAAATTCGCAGCAGTCACTGCCCCATGCTGGTCAAAGCTGTGTACTAGGGTGCGTCATCAGTAACAAAACCAAGTGAGACAAAGAAATTCTTTGGCGCTGAATCCCAAAAGTACACGGCATAGCAAAAGTTCTTCCCAACAGCTTAAGTTCGTGAGGCGCGAGTCGATCGAAATATCACAGTAAACGGACGGCCGGCTTTCCAGTTACCCTATGCTGGGCGGCGTCCACCGTCGCAGGTAACACTAAGCTGTGGGCGGCAAGCGACACAAAATACCTTTGCGCATAGAAACGATGCCACCGAGCGCTCCTCAAGCCGTCGTACGAGAATGTCCCGGTCTGAGGTCTAATGTGCGGATCAGACATTGCCCGGTTGATTGCCATTTGGCGGAAACTTTATGTGCTGATGAGTATGAGCTCTTACGTGTGGTTCGTATGGTGGGTAACATTATTTAGACTTTCACTTCTCTAGGACAACTCGCGTGATGCAAACAAAGCTTTGTAAAGCGTATGACTCAGAATATGTCGTTTGGTGTACGACATAATACATACAACAATTTCTGTAGCCTGTACCACGGACGTAGAGACAGGGGGGGGGGGGGGGAACGGTAGGGTGACCCCATGCACATATTATTCCTTGCCGAGCCTGTGTATTCGATGCACCGGCCTAAACAGCAGCTGCTCACAGACTGAAAACCCAAAACGCGTGTTGGCAATGATCGCACAGTAGCAGAAATTCCTTCGCAACTGGGCCCCACATATTGCCGAAGCTCCAGCTCCAGCACCAGACGTCCTCGGCAGTGCGGCGCTGCGTCGCACTCCTAGTGTGAACCAGATAGGGCAAGATGGCCAGCGGTGCCTGCACTTCGTTCCGCAGCTCGCAGTCGCTGAGGTCTCGCAGTGGAGGCTGTGTGACTGTGAGGCTGTGTGACCGTGCCAAGTAATCAGTTCGGTGTACCTCACGGCCTTGAAGTTCAGAAGTTTACCGCTGAGATGGCGAAGACCCTGGGCTGAAGAAGACCCTCAGTTTGCTGCTCACGAGCGACGCGAGGATCGGATTAGCTTGTTCGCGGACCATGCGGTTCTCATCTCACCCAATTCCCAGCAGCAGCTGTTCCGGACAGACCCAGTACCCGCTACGCTGGAGGACTGGCTGCACCGTGGCGTATGTGTGCTGCGTCAGGTCGCGGGGCAGCGCGATGCTCCGGAACAAGTTGCGTAAGATTAAGTCGCAGCCGCTGTTTTGCCGGATGGCAGACCATACCGACACATAGTGGCCGACCACGCACTGTACGAGGTTCTTGAGAGCGTTGCTGGAGGTCTCAGTAGAGATGTGAGCTAGGAGCAGACGAGCGGCCAGTGTCAACCATCTGAAAACAAATGCGAATGTATTAGAGCGATTGGCTACGAATTGAGCATTAGATCATACAAAAATTATTTCACCTCTTTACTGTATGTAATTATGCCGATATCCAGAGTCCTTAAATGTGACGGAATTTATATTAACAAATATGCTAATGAGCACAAACCAACCAGCAAATGATGCGACATACTACGGCATAAGGTATGATAATAAGTAAATGCTCAACAGTGAGCACATGAAATATCGATTGATACTTCATGAACTTCAAACACTCATTGCTATAAATTCGAAGATCATGCGTTTTCATACTTACCTGACATGGTTCGATGGTCCGATTCGCCGCTGGGCAGCCACGTTTCGGACAGAGTCGTTTTGGACGCCGGAGGCCGGAAGGTACAGCAGCTGCTGGTTGGTGCTCAGCTGCTGAATCAGGTCGACCGGCAGGTTTGGCACGTGCCCCGACCTAGGCTTGAATGCCACAACGCCCCTCTCCCAGACGTCTCCGGCACAGGTCCCGCCGATGGGTCCAGAAAAAACTTGATCCTGTGGTCGTGCCGTCCAAGCTCAGCAGCAGATGGAGGAGGTTCAGTTCGTTGCCACGCAGCTGGCAGATGAACCAGTGTACGGTTGACTCGGTGGCCAGCTCAAACAGCCGGAACACGTCGCCTATCGTTTCGGTGATGACGGCCGTTCCATCGCAGCCGAGCCCATTGATGTGACCGTCGCACTGCGGGCTCACGGAGTGTAGCCCGTTGAACAAGAGGGCGCGGCCGAACTCGGGCGTAAGATGAGTCACGTAGCGGCTGTCTGGCTCAGTGATGACAGCCACGTGTTTTTCGACGGCATTCGTGGGGCTCCGTGTGGCTCATGTGGCTTCTGCCTTTGCGGCCGTCTGACTAGAATATGGTCAAACCTGGCATGTGGATGGCTTCAAAATTTAAGCGAGCCTTTCTCGCTCTGTTTCTTGCGCAGCAGGTCTCCTTAGGATCAACGATATGTGATTTCAAGTAGCCAGTCCGTCTCTGCTGTCTTGTTGAAAGGCATTGATGATAGCATTAACGGCCCGGTTCGAGCTACCGTAGCTGTCAACCGCTAGAGCGGTGTAAGTCGGATCGTTAATGTTATAAACTACATACAGTGACAGTGGTCTCAACCGGAACGAACAATCGGCGTCGTCGCCACCTTCTACCATGTACGGAACCGTGTAAGGATCCGTGCTCTCGACTGACTCGCCAGCGCTGAGACCACTTGGTCCCGGAGCAGACTCGGGGTCGGCACTAGCAGCCAGCGCTCGCTCAGCGTGCGCGGGCTCAGCAGTCGGCGGGGAAGGCGATTTAGGTTCAACGGCAGACACCGCCTCACTGGCGACCGAGCCACGACGCCCCTGGAGTTGTCTGGCCATCCTCCACATCTCGCGAGCCTCCCTAGTTACAAGCGTATCCCGGTCATATGACCCCATGGTAAGCTTCCGGTGCCTGCACTGGTCCTTCGTGGCAACCTCCTGATACACTGTGCAGGCAACTGGGCATGGAAAGCTGCACTGAGGCTTGCACTTGCATTTTGTGACATCAAGAAGCTTGTTGAATTTCGCGGTGGCGGCGTTGCCGTGTCACTCTCTTTCTTTCTTTGATTTCCTGCTGATAGCTCCGTTGGGATGATATCAATCCCTCTCGATCAATTTTGTCACGTATTTGAGATCATGAACAGAGGTCGCTCCGTTGGTCCACCGTACCCTGATTTGTACCGTCGCGGTCCTGAAGATGGTATTAGTGAGATTACTTTTCGATTCGCTCAGCCACCTGATGTAGCTCAAGGACTTCCCGCAGTCGGCAGCTGGTGGTGGGACAGCAGAGCCGGGTGGCCTATCACAAAATGTGTTGTGCGCGACCATGTAGCCCTCGGCATTCTTGTGCAAGTAATTGTTCGAAAGAAATGTTTCAGTATCGGCAAAACTCAACTAAGAAGCTCATATCTCCCACGCAAAAAGCACATAAATTGCAAATGAACATCACAATTATGCGTTAGCAATAACAAACTTGAACCTAACCCGGTCTGCTGGAGCATTCTCACAACTGCACAGCTTTGGTTTTACCAAAAATTACATTTGTTTACCAAAAATTCAGCTTAAAGGCTGTTTGGCAATGTTTTGCTGATGCTCTTCATGTT